AGTCGCCGCGGGTGGCAGATAGGCCAGCGCGGGGGACAGTGGCACTGAAGGGCTGCCCTCCCCCACCTGCGTTCCCCACAGGGCGAGCCTGGTGCCGCAGGGATCCCTGGCGAGCCGGTAAGGTGCCCCTGCCACCCCACCAGGGACCCCATCCCCATGTGGGGACCCTTGACCTTATAGTGAACCAGCACCCTAACGTTGTCTGGGGACCCCACCTTCCCAGTCACCCCTGTGGTGGGTCCACTCACGTCCCCATGAAAACCCTGCACTTCCAGTGGCTCTGGCCCCCATGACGATTTCACCCTGAAGTGTTCCCTGTCCATGATATCTAGGGTGATTCCCTTTGATCCCTCACTGGCCTCACTAACACCTTTCCCACAGGGATCCCCAGGAAAAGACGGAATCCCTGGCGTCCGAGGAGACAAAGGAGATGTTGGCTTCATGGGTCCCCGGGGCCTCAAGGTGGGAAGGGGGCTGGTTTTTTTCCCCCTCATCAGGACCTGATGTTGGAGGGTGAAGTATCTGGGGTCAGAGGTCAGAGGTCACGTATCTGCGGTCAGATGCTGTGGTGTCTAGGGTTGACGTGAGGTGTTATGTCAGAGGTGGGAAGGTCAGAGGTGGGAAGGTCAGAGGTGGAATACCTAAGGGCAGTTCGGAGAGGGTTTTAAGGGTCAGGGGTCATAGGTGAGGTATCTAGGAGGTCACTGTCTCACTTCTTTTTTCTTTCAGGGTGAACGGGGGATTAAGGGAGCCTGTGGCCTCGATGGAGAGAAGGGAGATAAGGTATAGGAGTGATGAGGGATATGGGGGGATGTGGGGTCTATGGGGCCTGCGGACTAAGGCTGACCCCTCCACCTGATCGCTGCAGGGGGAAGCTGGTCCCCCGGGCCGCCCAGGGCTAGCAGGACGCAAAGGAGAGCTGGTGAGTGTGGGGCACCCCTAGAGTGACGAGTGGATGGGTGGGCCAGGAATTGGCTAATGTCTTCTCTCCTCCAGGGGGAGCCCGGTGTCCCAGGCCAGGCAGGGGCCCCTGGGAAGGAGGGCCTGATCGGTCCCAAGGTAAGGGGGTCCTTCCACAGTGGACAGTGGGGTTCAGGATTGGGCAGGGATGGCACGATAAGGTCGTGAAGGTTTTGGGTCAAGGAAGGTTGGGAAAGGTTGGGACACTGCGGGGTGGAGTGGGGCTGGTCCTGAGGTTTCAGGGTGGGTTGGGATCACAATGCGGATTGAGGGTTAGGGGTGGAAGGTGGAGTGACACATGCCTCAGGGCTGAGCGTTAGGGTGGTTGAGGTCAGGGGGAAGTTGGAGGGTCCCTGAAGGGGAAATGGGTGGAGTCAGGGTAGGGGGCGTCACAGTGGGGCGGGGTCGTGGGGATCACGGTGGACTCAGGCTCTTGGCTGGTAGGCCACAGGAAGTCGAGGTGGTGGCCATGGGACCTGGCCACTCATGGGGGCTGAGCTGAGGGAGGCCGAGGCAGAGGGACCCTCATGCTTCTTTCTGTTCCCAGGGTGACAGAGGTTTTGACGGGCAGCCAGGACCCAAGGGTGACCAGGGCGAGAAAGGGGAGCGGGTAAGTGGAGGCTGAGGTCATGGCGAACTGAGGGGCCTGGGGTCTCTGGAAGCTCTGATCGCTGCCCCTGATCTCTCTCTCCCCAGGGACCCCCAGGAGTGGGGGGCTTCCCAGGTCCCAGGGGCAGTGATGGCTCTAGCGGTCCTCCCGGGCCACCTGGCAGCCTTGGTCCCAAAGGCCCTGAAGGGCTTCAGGGTCAGAAGGTGAGAGGCCCTGACCCCTGACCCCTGACCCCTGAACCTCACTGACCCTTCCCCAACCTCCCTGACCTCTGACTCTACAATCCATTCCCCCAATATCCTTGCCCCAACCTCTGAACCTATGGTCCCAAATTGCCTCTCACCCTGCTCACTCAGTCCACTTCTCTGACAGGGTGAGCGAGGTCCCCCTGGAGAGAGCGTGGTGGGTGCCCCCGGGGCCCCTGGAACTCCTGGAGAGAGAGGGGAGCAGGTGAGTGGGAATTCCTGGGCCTGGGGTCAAAGGCTGGGATGTCCGTGAGGTCAGAGGTCACAGCCCAGCCCTATCCATCACACGCAGGGGCGGCCAGGCCCCACGGGGCCCCGCGGTGAGAAGGGAGAAGCTGCGCTGACAGTAAGTGTGTGGGGGGCGGAGGGGGCCCTGCCTCCTGGTCCCGACCCCCTGGACCCTGGGTCCTGACTCTGTACTGTCCCTCCATGATCCCTGCATCATGTACCCTTTGTCCTTCCATGACCCGTGGGTTCCTTCATTACCCTTGTGGTCTTGGGCTCTTAGGAGGATGACATTCGGGGCCTTGTGCGTCAGGAGATGAGTCAGCATTGCGGTGAGTGGGGTCCAGCCTGGAGTCTCCTGGGTCCCATCCCTACTCCATCCCCACACCCCTAGACAGAGGCAGGCAGCACCCCCAGAACGTCCAGGGGGCAAGCAGTCAGGGAGGCGGGTGGAGACAGATGGATACACAAAGTACGGATGTTTCAGGACAGACATGCTGACAGGACTCCCCCAAGTGGAGACTCGGGTAGAGGTGGAGGCACACGTGCTCCTGGGTGCCCAGGATGGCCGTGTGTGGAGGGGCTGGAGGTGTGAGCAGAGCCGGTTCCTCGGGGCCAGATGTGGAGCCGGGGTGAGGGGCGGGGGCTCTGATGGCCCTGGGGGGCGTCAGAGAGTGAAGCTCGTCTCCTTCCGCCTCTGCCTTCTCCCTGTCTCCATTCCTGCGGGCCCCTGACCCTCTCCCTCTCCCTCTCTCTCTCTCTCTCTCCCCCTCTCCATCTCTCTCTCGCCTTTGGCTGGCCTGTTCCCATCTTCCCTCTTGCCCTTGGTCTGCTTCTCCCCCTTGCTTTCTTTCTCTCCCTCCGTCTGCTTGCCCTCCTCTCCCCCGCTGTCTGTCACTCTCTTCTCCGTCCCCTCCGTATGTCTCTGCCCGCCGTGAGCCTCTCTCCCTGCCTCTTTCCGCCTCTGTCTCTGTCTCCTGTTCTCTGTTCTCGTCTCTCTCTCTGGCCCCTTCTCTGCCCCCTCCAGCCTGTCAGGGCCAGTATATCGCATCTGGATCACGTGAGTAGTTTTCTGGTATTTTCTGCTCCCGGAACTTGCCTCACGCCAGGCCCTGCTGTGCCCATTGCCTGGGTCGTCTCAGCAGGGGCTTGGCGAGGGCGGCCACCAGGCTGACCCCTGGGCCCCCTGCCCCTGCTCCCGGCTCCAGGACCCCTCCCTAGTTACGCAGCAGACACCGCTGGCCCGCAGCTCCACCCGGTGCCCGTGCTCCGCGTGTCCCATGCGGAGGAGGATGGTGAGGATGGCTGCATCCTGGGGCGCGTGTGGGGCGGGAGCACAGACACACAGACACACACACACACACACAGGGCTGCTCGTGTGTGCAGGGCCCACACCGCGTGTGCAGGGGGCACATGCAGGGAGCACGCTTGGGAGGCCAGGGTTGGGCTGCACGAACCTGGCCCCGCAGTGGCCCTGCTCACAGCACCCCCTTACTGTGTGTGCAGGCCAGGTGCCCCCCGAGGACGATGAGTATGAATACTCTGAGTATCCCGTGGAGGAATACCAGGATCCCGCAGCTCCCTGGGATGACGATGGTGAAGAAGGGGGCTGGGCCCAGAGGGGCGTGGGGGGGGGGGGCAGGCCGAGCGCACCCCAGCTGACGTCTCCACCCCTGCCCCCGTTACCCCCAGACCCCTGCTCGCTTCCACTGGATGAGGGTTCCTGCAGTGCCTACACCCTGCGCTGGTATCATCGGGCGGGGGCAGCGGGCACGAAGGCCTGTCACCCCTTTGTCTACGGCGGCTGCGGAGGGAACGCCAACCGTTTTGACACCCGGGAGGCCTGTGAGCACCGCTGCCTGCCCCAGGCGGTCCACAGTCAGGGGACAGGTACGAGCGTACCTCCCATTCCAGTAGGGGCCTGCCCAGATTATGTCCAGGGTCAGGATCTGGGGTCAGAAGCCGCCCCCCGCCCCCCAGACTGGGGGACCTGGGACAGACACCACCTCAGACCAAAGAGCTGATAGAGAAGCCCAACTCTGGGCGGAGTCCCCAGTACGGTACCCCTCGGTGCCCCCTCCCTTAAAGACCTGAGTAAGGACCCCTTTCTGTGGGCAGAGCCCCCACACCCACTGTGCCCCCGGCTCCCCCATCCTCTGCGGCCCTTGCGTTGGGTACGGTTAGACGGCTGAACTCCGCCTGCCCCGCCCAGGTGCTGCCCGGAGCTGAGGTCCAGTTCTGCATCCCCTGGAGGAGTCAGTGTCTCAGCTGGACCCTGCCGTCCCTCCCCCTTGGTGCTAGAGGCCTGTCTGCACGTGAGCGTGCGTGAGCGTGTCCGTTATTTCAGTGACTTGTTCCACGGGTCTCACCTTCCCCCCAGTGGACAGACCCCCATTGTGGCTGCTGCCTCCCCGGCTGATGACTCAGTGTTGGGGAGGCTTTGGGCAGTGAGCGGAAGTGACTGAATCCAACCCCGCCCCTTGCCCCACGCTAGTGATGACATGGTGCTGATTCTGGGGGGTCATTAAAGCTGCTGTTTTAAAAGGCCCCTGTTGTGACTGTTTGCGGGGGGTGTGGGTGTCAGGGGGGCAGGTTTTCCCTGGGAGGCCCGTGCTATCCTGAGTGGGTACAGAGTCCCTCTGTCCAGCCTGCCACTATCCTGTGACCCTCAGTCCCCAACTTGTCCCCAGAAAGAAGCCAGGGTAGGGGCTGAGGGTGTGCCTTCACTGCCCCCCAGGAGAGGATGAATCATGGGTGGGGGGCGGCCTCGAGCTAGAGGACGGGCCCCAGCTCTCAGCCCAGGGGCTGAGGGAGATAAATGGGCCCTGAAGGGGGTGGAAGAGCAGACCAGTACAGAGGAGCACTGCCTGGCACAGCTCACCCCAGAGGAGGCTGCTACTGGTGAGACTGGGGTCAGGGGATGGACAGGACCGTTGGGGTAGAGTGGATCTGGGGTTTGGGTCAGTGGAGGTCTCTGGGCCTGAGGCGCCCTGAGACCTCTGGCTGCTTCCTTGTCTCAAGGACCCCCATTCCTGCCTTTCTGTGCCCTGGATCTGCGACATGCTTTCTCGCTCAAACCTCAGGCTGCCCTTCGGTCCCTCTGTGTTTCTCTCTGTTTGCATCCTTATTTCCATCACACTGTCCCCTTTCTTCCGTTCTCCCTCTATTCTGCTCCATCCCCTCGGATACATCTCCATCTCTTTCTCCCTCTCCCTGACCTTTCTTGTTCTTGCTCTTCCTCCCTGTCCCCCACCATCTCTCTCTCTCAAATACATCCATATGCAGATATACCTGTGGCTTTCTGTCCCTGGGTCCCTCCATCTCTTTGTCCATCTCTGTCTCTCTGCTTTCCCCATCTGTGTCTGTCCGTGGGCCACAGCTAACCAGAGCCCCTGCCTTGAACCTGTTTTCTCCTTTCAGCCTGACTACATGATGACTAGGTGGGCTCTGCTCACGCTGATGGTCCTGACATTGGGCAGGACCCTGCTTGTCCCAGCAACCCCCACCCCAGGCTTCCAGCTCCTCCTTCAGAACCTTCCCCAGGCCACTGCCTGCCCCGTGACCTCGGAGAGCCCCTCAGCTAGCACCACGGCACCCTCCGCTGCATGGGGCCACCCCAGCCCCGACCCCCACCCTGGCCCCCACATCACCCTCTCGCTGGACGTCCCCCTTGGCCTCCTACAGATCTTACTGGAGCAGGCCCGGGCCAGGGCTGCAAGGGAGCAGGCTGCTGCCAATGCCCACATCCTCACCCAGGTCGGCCGCCGCTGAGCCTGAGGGAGGCGGTCACAAGGATGGAGCCACCCTGGATGGGGCAGCGGCGGAGCTGGACCATACTACATCTGGACATGGCGCATCTGGACTCCACCACATGGAGTCACTGTCATATCAAAGTGCCTCACAGAGTCACACTGTGTGTGGACAGCATGCACGTTGCCACGCCAGGTTGCCAATGGACTCTAGCCACTCCTAGGAGCCCCCCAGACTTACGGTATATGTCTGGTCATGTCTGGGTCCCACAGTCAAGAGCCTCTGGACACCATCATACAGGGTCTCCGTAATGCCACTTACAGGAACCTCAACACAGGACACCACCGCTGCATCAGAGAGAACCGCCCATCTAAGGCCAGACCCAGAGGTCTGCCCTGCCCCCACGGGTCACCACACAGACAGGTGCTGGTGGAGGTTCCCAGGCAGCACCCACCCCAGACTGATTGGGGCATCTCCAGGCACAGACAGACGCTTGTACGTGGGAGGTCTGTGGCTGTCGCAGCCTTGCATTGTGTGTGTGGGGGGGGGGGATGTACACGCATGGGTGGCCACATCTCTGTGTATCTGATGGCTGTCTGTGCATGTGAACAAGGCGTGGGCCTGTGAGAGGGCTGGGAGGAATGGGAGCCTGTCCCCCAAATCTGCATAAAGCATGCTCAGCACACACCCAGGCACTGTCTTACCCACACCCCTGCGTACCCAGGCTCTACCCTTGCACACACATGGCTCAGGGGAGAAGGGAGCTCAGGCTGACAGGGCCTCTGGCTCCTTTACTCAACAGTCCTGAGCCTCAGTTTTCCAAGCCTCTGTTTTCTCCTTCCTAGAGCCGAGTGATGCCACCGCGCTTCTTTTGAGCACGGAGTGATGTAATAATGTACATGAAGGTTCCCGCTGGCAAAAAAAGCGCTCAATAAACATAGTGACTGGAGAATGGGCTAGACAAGAATCACACAGTCATGTGCCCCCAGGCAGTGAGCGGCTCCTCTAACCCCCTTCCCCCGCCCCGATTCACTGACCTGTCCTTGGTGTGGAAGGCTGCAGGTTTGGCCTAATCTCCCAACCTCATCTCCATGGCGGGTTTGGAGATGAGACCCAGCCTCCTGGAGCGTGTGGTCAGGCTTGCCAGCAGATGGGGCAGGAACTGTGGGTAGTGTAGACGACTCCGGCTGGAGATGAGAGCAGACACTGGGTCCTAGCTGGAGAGAAAGTTAGCACTGTCGGAAGTGTGGCCGCCGGGGGTGCTGGGGACGGGGGTGGAGGGGGGCACTGACCGAGATCTCACAGTTGTCAGCAGCCCTGGGGGGCGGGCCCAAGGCGGGGCGGAGAGGCGGAGCCACGGTGGGGGCGGCGCTCTCCGGAGCCTTGAGGGCGGGGCCGCCCCAATCCCCGCCGCAGGGGGCGGCGGCCCGGGCCAGTTCGGGAGCAGGATGAACAGAGGTATGGAAGGAGGCAGCTCCCCGACGGAACCCGGGTCAGGGAGCAGGAGACGGGGTAGGCGCCGGGCAGGGTGGAGAGGGTGGGCGGACTGGGAAAAGACCTGGGCGAAGTGGAGGTGGTGTTAGATGGGGGTGTGAGAGCTTTGGGGTCTCTCTGGGATTAGGGGTGCTCTGAGGGGGCATCGGCCTGTCAGTGGCAGGAAGGGGGGGCACTGGCGCCTCATCGGGGAGAGGGAGCTGGGCCAAGGGGGGAACTATAAATAGCTGCTTCCTCCAGCCCAGGGGGAGGGACAACCCGCTGGAGCTGCCCCAGGGCCTCCCGCTCTGCCCTTTGCTGGCCTCCAAGGGGTCATACTTGTCCAGGTCCCCCCTCAGGGGTCATACCAGCTTGGGAAGGCTCAGAGGCTCATTTGGGAAGCTTCTCATACGGTGCGACTTTAGCCTTTAAACGAGTATTTCTAGGGCAACTACTGTGTGCCTTGTATGGGTCCTGAGCTGCTCTAAGCACCTACTGTGTGCTCTGCCCCAACCACAAACCTCTCTGAGCACCTCGGACTGTGTGCCCTGGCTGGCCCTGAGGCACTCTGAGCACCTACTGTGTGCCCTGTGCCAGGCGGGAATCAGCAAGTGCAGACCAGGGCTGCTTGGTTGGAAGCTCACACCTTGTGTGAGTTTGGCTCCCAGGGAGACACGGGATGATCCTTGGCTAGAAATGGCCAGAGCCATTGGGACTCCTGGGAACTCCCCAACCTCCCAGTGGCCGCAGAGAGGAGAGGAGGAGGGAATAAAGGGGGAGGGAGGCAGCAGAGAGCAGCAGGTCTCACTGCCGCCGGCCTGGGCGCAAGGCTTGGTAGTGCATGTTCACGCGTGGCTGTGTGCACACCATGCATTTGTGGACTGGTGTGTGGGTCTGTGTAGGATGCACTGAGGTCCCTAGACCTTTCTGCTGCAAAGGTTGGCATGGTGGTTGGGCCAGGACTGGCCAGCGGATATGGGGACTGGGAAGAGTTTGAGGACTGAAGATTGAGGACATCCCGCAGCTTGGAGCCTGGGACACCGGGAGGAGGTCCAGTGGTCAGTGCACAGAAGCCCTCCGGCACAGGCCAGGCAGGGTCACGGGCGGGGTGGGGGCTGAGCAGGATGGATGTGTTCACATGCAACATCCCAGCACACCTCCCACCCCTGGGCCAGGAGAGCTGGCTCACTCTGGGATGGACCCAAGGAGGGCAAGCCACAGGGGCCAGTTATTCTATTGGACATCTGCTGATGCTGAGGGAGCAGAAAGCTAGGAGAGCATTTCCGTGCAGGGGACGTGCAAGAGCGTAGGTATGGAGGTGGGACGTGTGGGTATAGTACACTGCGTGTGGGAGGTGAGGTTTGTAAGGGCTGCCAGTTGAGCTGAGTCCATCCTGCATGGTGGGCAGGCAACTCTGTGACTCTCAGCCCTTCTCCCCTTCCTCAGTTTCCTATGTGAGAAGTGGAGCCACAGCAGGGGAGATGGGGAATATCCTCAGAGCAGATGTTGACCCTGGCCATGGGGAGGGGCTCCAGGCTCCTCCTGCTGTTGACAAGTGGCCTCGCCCTGGATATGGGGACTTGGGAGGGAGTGTCTGAGTCAACCCAGAGTGGGACTGTTTGGGGAAGAGTGGGAGGTACAGAATCACTGCTTCCCTGAGAAGCCAGACTCAGACTTCTGGATAATGGAGTTAGCTTCCCAGACCTGCTCCTGGTCTCCTGCTCGGCCCTGGCTGTCCCCGATCCCCAACCTTTGACTAACATTCCAAGAGGGCCAGGGAGGAGAATGGCAGGTCTGAGAAGGTGCGGGATGTCTGTGGATGTTAGAGGTAGACTCTGCAATGAGTGCTGCGGGTTGGATAGAGTGTGAGTGTGTGGTGACAAGGTCTCTGAGGCTAGTGTGGCCCCAGGATGGCCTTGGTAGTGGCCAGGAGACAAACAGGAGGGCTGACTGTGTCAGGAACAGCATGAGTGGCTTTGGAGAAGTAGGAAGTGGGTGGGAGGTCACCAGGGGCATGCCACTCATCAGGACCTGCCCATGGGTGTGCCCGCTGCTGGGCATGAGGCGGGGAGGGAGGTGGATGGTGGACACTGAAGAGGGAGGCTGAAAAAGAGAGGAAGTGGTTGAGTCGGTCTGAGGCAGGGAATTCCCTGGGGAGGCAGCTTGAGCTGCTTCCAGGGAGGGTCTGTGTGGGCTTCTAGCACATGGACTTCCTTAACCTTCCCTCCCTGTGAAACAAGAGAGACATCTGCATCAGTCATCTCAAAGGTCCTTGCCAGGCTCTGAAGGGCTGGGTGGGGACTCGGGGGACTGACTCAAGGCAGGAGTGTGGCAAGCTGGGCAGAGGAAGCCGCGCTGCCCCTGTGGTGCACTGGGTGGAGTCTTTGCTCCATGCCCCGGCCCCTGGGTCCCGGCCGGGCACACAGTCAGCAGAGAGGCCTTGCGGATGCAGTGGTCCTGCCAGGGGGTGTGGTGGAGGACATCGCTAGAGGGCAGTGTGACTCATCCTGGAGCCCTGTCAGCTAAGGCCTTGGAAGAAAGTGTACAAAGCTTAAGAGGCTGGGCTGAGGAGACAGAGGAGTTAGGGCTGGAGAGAAGAAGCCAGGTGCTCCTGAACCTCTGGGTCTCTCCCCTGCCTCTTGCCTCCACTGCATATTTAGAGACAGGAGGGAGATAAATAACATAATAAATGATAGCATTACTGGGCTTTAAAACAGATTTCTCAGACACTGACACTTTTTTTTTTTTTTTGACACTGACACATTTAATCCATACCAGAATCTTGTCCTTGATGACAGTACATACTCTATTTTCCTGATGAAGAGGCAGAGGCTCATTAAAGAACAAATGTATAAACTTAATGATGTAAAATTTAGTTGGTAAAAATGACGTCCTAGAAGGAAAAGGAAGATACTGTCCTTGGATGAGTCCCCTGGGAGCTTGGTCCTACTCACCTGCTCCAGGTGGGCTGGGGTTTAACCCGAGCTCCCCAGCAGCTAAGGCAAAGAGAGAAACACGGTCAGTTTTGAGATTTGTTCTGTCTCCCTGTCCATGAGATAAAGGGGCTTTTTTCAACGTGGTTGAGCAGGTTGTTCCTGTGTGCAGTGGAGAGTCCCGGGCCCCGGAGGGTCGGGGCGCAAGGCCAGAGGGAGAGTTGACAGCCGTGCCAGTGGGCTGGTGACCAGTCACGCAGGGGCCTCCAGGTTGTTCCTGACCAAATTCTGGGGGTCACGCAGACTTGCCCCAACCCATGCAAACCCCTTCTTCTGAGGGTCCTGAGGTCACGGAGAACGGGAACCGCGTGTCCTAGGGGCACGCTGGGGAGTCCAGGGCGAGGCGGTGGGTGAGGCGTTTGCAGATCAGCGTCGGGTGTGCGGGGCTCCGGCATCCAGGGCGGGGCCTGTACCATCTGAGCCCGGAACCTGTGGTGAGCTGGGCATGCGCGTCCTCCATCCTGGCATTAAGGGCGGGCCCGCTGGGTCCCAAACGGGCACTCGGGAGAGCTGGGCATGCGTGGTCGGACGCCAGGCCCTCCTCGGTTGGGGTGGAGCCTACTCGACCTGGGGCGGGGCCTGTGGGGAATGGGACCGGCGTCAACGCAGCTCTGGGAGGGGCGGGGCTGAGGGGCGGGGCCTCGAGTGGCCCGAGGTGGCCAGGCAGCTGGGTTGGCAGCAGCGCAGTCGGACTCATCCAAGCCCCAGGATGGCGTCCCCACGGGAACTGACCCAGAACCCCCTGAAGAAGATCTGGATGCCGTACAGCAATGGACGGCCCGCTCTGCACGCCTGCCAGCGCGGTGGTGAGGCGGGGTCCGCGGGCAAGGGGGGAAGGCAGTGCACGGGGATGGGTATTGATCTCATATGCACAGATGCGAACCGGAGACATGTGAGGCTGCCGCGGCCGGTGGCAGGGAAGCAGGAACAGGTGTGAAGCCTCGGACAGGTGTGGCAGAGCAGGAGGTGGGTACAGGTGTGTGGCGTCTCCGCTCAGCGGGGCTGCGTCTGGCCGCCATCACCTAGGGAAGGGCGCGGGACCCTTGGCACACCACTCTGTCCCCACTGTCTCAGGCCGCGGGGAGGACTCGGAGCCTCGGTCCTACCCTCTCCGCGGGCCAGAGAGTGTGGGCCGAATGGTCAGACTGGGATCTGCCTCTGTGTTGGCACTAGGAGAATCGCTTGGTCTCTCTGAGCGCAGAACTTTCAAAGCCGCCTGGGTGGGAGGAAATCTCATCTCTGGGCCTGAAAACGAGTTTTTGGAGCAATTTCAGGAAAGTGCCGATGTGTTCAGGAGAGAGACAGTGAAACCACTTTGTTATATGGGCCTGTCTTTGTGTCTGTGGGTGTGCAAGCATCCAGGTGGGGTTGTGGATGAGTGGTAAAACTGGAGGGTGGAAACATCTAGAAGATATGCTGGAAAATCATAGAATTGTTAAGGGGCTCACGTTCCCCTGGGTCCTAGGTGTTTATTACATTTCATTGATCGCCTGCTTGTCCTTAAATGAGTCTGCAACTTCTTTTTTTATTACCAGGAAAAACAAAGATTTATTTTAAGAGTTGCTGAAACATTATAATGAATTTGCAAGTTGGCAGGGTCCTCAGAGAACATCTAGTCCAGGTCCTGATACCTATTGGGAAATGGAGGTCAGGAGATGGTGTTACATGTTGGGCTATCCCTGCCTCCTGACCTCTGCTTGGGAGCGACAGAAGAGAGAGTGCTGTTGCTTGTTTTGCTTTCAGGCTGGCCTGCGGGCCTTGGCCTTGACCAGGATGTGACACCACCTGGAGGAGGAGTGTGTGTATCTCTTAGTACGCTATTGGTCCTGGTAGGGGTGGCCATGGCTGGGGCTTTGATCAGACATTCTGGTGGGTCCTGGGCTCTGATTTTTATGTCAGTCCTGGTGGGGTGCCGAAACTGTGATCCTGCCTTTAGCTCTGGGGCCATGGCTTTCCAGTCAATATTCAGTCCTAAGGGACCATGGCTTCACCCTAGCCAACCCTCCTTCCAGACTTTTCTGGAGGTGTGGAGGGCCAAGGCCCCTTTCTCTTGTGCTTCAAGTCAGTCTGTGTTAGGGCTGTGCTGCCCTGACTTGGTGGGTGCCCTCTGCTGTTACATAAAAGGAAAGGAGTGAGAAGGTGGACTTTGGAGGCAAGAGCACTCAGACTGTGTCGTGGCTCTGCTGGGTGACCTTGGGCACAGAGCTGACCCTGCAGGTCTCAGCTTCCTTATCTCTTGGACGGAGACAGTCAACAGCCTCGCACTGTGAGCCTCTTGATAAGTGTTTGATAAGTGGTAGCAGTTACTTTAGTATTTTGTCACCACCCTTCTTTTTTTGCTTCTCCAATCCTCACCCTCAAGGAATGAAGCATCAGCGAACAGCTCCGTGCCAACCCCCTTTCAGGTAGCAAAGGAGCTGAGGCCCCATGGGAGGGAACTTGCCAGGTCTCACGGCCCCTGGGGGCAGGCCTGTATTTCTCCAGCTCTGGGTATGCAACTAAAATGTGGCTCTGGCCTGAACACAGAGACTTGTGCCCTGACACTGCCTCAGGGTGTTGCAGTGGGTGGGACTGTGAGCTGACCTGGCACAAGAGGCCAAAGATGAGACCTGCAGATGGTACGGCGGTTTGGGCCCCAGGCTAGGGTCCCAGAGTTCATAGCAAGGAGGGAGCAAGCGGTGAATGAGCATGGAGACAGCATCTTAGGTCTCAAGTTCTCATTTATGCAGCATTTTACCCTCGCTGGGTGGGCTTCTAACTAGGTTGGAGGACCACAAGGACAGGTGGGAACCTGAGGTCGGGGTGGGTGGATGCTGACTTGATCACAGGGCTTTACAGAGAAGAGGATGTAGGGGTCCACCACTAGACTTCGCTGTGTGGTGGGTTGTCTTTGGGGTCTAGTCCAGTTCCTCAGGACACCAGAGGCTGGTTGGCGGGGGGATGTCCCTGCCTCTTCCCACTCTCTGCTAGCAATTCTGCCTCCTTTTCATAAATCCAAAGCTACACAGAAAGGCCTAAAAGCTGTTACCTTTCTGTTCATTGACCTGGAGGAGCTCTGGGGGCAGATGGGGTAGGAGATGGGGACGTGCCTCGGGGAACACGGCAAAAAGGGCAGTATTTGATAGCCTTTCTTAGCCAAAAGTTGGCAAGACTTCCTGGCTAAGGACACAACTGATGTGTGCACAGGCCAGTAGGACAGATGACTTTCGATCCCCTCCGAACAGGACCGTGATGCCAGTTTGCTTTGTTTTAAAGAACTCTCCCTTCCTCAGCCCAGCTCAAGGCAGTGGGAGCAGATACAGGTCAGGACTCAGTTCTGGAACCTCCTCCAAGGACTTGAGGCTGCCCCCGTGGAGACACCACCAGATGATAGTCACTGGCCAGCACCACGCTTGTCTCAGTCTCCTGGCTCCTTGGGCTCTGGTGGCCTTGAGTACGTTTACAGATAATTTACAGGAACTTGCGAGAAAAGCTGACTTGCATATTTTCAGATTTCCTTCCGCACATGCCCTGTGTTCTAAACTGTGTGTTCTGCTGTCCTCTTGCTCAACATCAAGGTCCTGAGGGCCTGGACCTGAGCTCCAGCAGCAGGCACCAGCTCTCCTGGTCTGCCCGCCCTTGCCCTCGGTTCAAGTGTGTTTCCTCCGTGGGGGGCCTCGGTTTGCAATTTCTCTATTGCTTGGACGTCCCTGGTGTTCTGCTGTTGCAAGCAGGGCTCTTGTGAACACACTTGTACTTTGCTTTTTCTTTTTGAGTATTTGCTAGGGATCTTATCTTGAGGAACAGAGGTGATAGGTAGTTTATGGCTCTGGTGTTGTGCCCAGCCCTGACTTGCTGTTCTGCCCGCCCACCATGGCTGTGTAGGTGGCCGGGGGGCAGAGGAGAGGAATGCTGTCGCCAAAAGTGTGTGAAGAGGCCAGGGACGTCCCTGGGGAGATGGAAGCTGTGAAGAGGGTATGCGGAACCCTAGCCCTGAGGTCATGGGAGAGCCCCTCAGGGAGCCATGGGAAGGGGTGGGACAGATAACTTTCGGTCCCCTCCGAACAGGACCGTGATGCCAGTTTGCTTTGTTTTAAAGAACTCTCCCTTCCCCAGCCTGGTCCAAGGCAATGGGAGCAAATACAGGTCAGGACTCAGTTCTGGAACCCCCTCCAGGGACTTGAGGCTGCCCCCATGGAGACACCACCAGATGGTAGTCACTGGCCAGCACCACGCTTGCCTCAGCCTCCTGGCTCCTTGGTCATCAGAGGCACCAGGGTGGGTGCAGGTTCCCCCCACCCCGTAGTGAGTAGCTGATGGTATTGCCCTCCGGTTGCTTGGGAGCCAGCCGGGTAGGAATTGTGCAAACAGCCCAGGCTCCAGCAGCATGGGGCTGGCCCTCAGGATGCAGGGCCTTGCCTAACTAGTTTTTCTCTCGCCTTAGCCAGTGCTGAGGTTTTTCTGCAAGTTTCCTCACTCTCGCTCACCATCAGCGGGTCCCCTCCCCCTCGCTCCTGGGACTCACAGTTTGGGTCCCATTTGCCCAAAGGTATTGCATTGGAGCAGCTGAGAGCTTCCCACTGGCAAGCAGGGCCCTTTACTTCTCTTCAGGGCCTGCCTGGGGACAAACAGATGCCTCTTCACCCCAAGTCCCAAGGGCGGTCTTGAGGTGCATGTTGTTCCCTAGCCGGGCAGGCTGCCAAGGCCAGGCACAGGACACAGTTTCCTGGAAGTGCTCTGGCTCTTAAATAGGGCGAATGTTAGACCTCGCGGAGGGATTATCATCCTGTCTTACAGATGACGATACTGAGGCTCGGGCTTCCCAAGTGGTGCTAGTGTTAAAGAACTCACCTGCCAATGCAGGAGACATCGGAGACATGGGTTCGATCCCTGGATTGGGAAGATCCCCTGGAGGAGGGCATGGCAACCCACTCCAGTATTCTTGCCTGGAGAATCCCATGGACAGAGAAGCCTGGTAGGCTATGGTCCATAGGGTCGCAAAGAGTTAGATACGACTGAGTGACTAAGCACTCACTCACACACGCACACACGCATGCACACTCAGGCTCAGAGTTGACAGTAAGTGTCAGAGTTAGGAACTCAGGCCTGACTGACTCTGACCACTGCCTCTGCACTCTGGCTCCAGCGAGGGTGACAAGTTGAAGGGTGGGGCCCGGCATTTGCAGAGCGTGTGGGCAAAGGAGGGGCAGTGACAAGTCCCCACATCTGTCCATGTGTCTGTCTGCTGTGGTTTCACCTGGCCCAGGCCCTGAGGATGAGGAAAGGGAGGCTTCCTGAGGCAAGACCACGCTGAAAACTGAGTTGGATCGCGCGAGGTTGGCACTTATGCCACCTTGGTGTCCGTCGTAGTGGCCAGGGCTTGGCAGGCTGGATCCAGACTCTTCCCTGCCTCCAGTCTCAGCAGCTTCTTTCTGGCGCACTGATCTGGTGGCACGTGGAGTGGCGGTGGGTGGCTCTCAGACAGACCACCCTTGTGGGTATTGGCCTGTGTCTCTGGTCTCAGAGACCCCTTGTGGCCCTCACCCTGGTGGATTTTGAGGTGCCTCCCTGTCCCTCCTTGCCCACAAGGTTTGAGCACCCAACTCTGCCAGACCTTGGGTTCCTAAATGACTCAGACACTGCAAGGCTGCTTCCCCACTGAGTGATGGGCTGTGGAGAGCAGACTGGTTTGGGTTGAGGGAGAGCACGCACCGGGTGGGCATGCGGGTGCCTTGAAGGAAGGACTCACTGCAGAAGCAGCTTCCAGGCTTTGTAGATGAGAAATCCACCCCTCCCCCCACCCACCCTGGGATGCGGAAGCAGTGATACTGTGCAAGCAGGAATGCTGAATGACTCTTGGGGTGGGGGTGCGGGTTCCTGGATGACAGACGGGCATCGGCTTTGTCCTGCCTGCTAGGGGAATTCCCCCGTGGTGTTTCTCCAGGCCTGTGGCAGCTCCAGCTTTGTATCTGGTGGTGCACGGCAGGTAAGGTCTGGTGAGATCCCATGGATTCTGACAGGCCTGGGGAATGGTGCATGCCAGCCTTGGTTAGAGACCCCCACCCCAGAGTCTGGGGGTCCTCGGGAAGCTCTCTGCTGCCAGGAGCTTGGAAAGACACATCAGAGGCCAGTCCTGTACCCTGAGGCAGAGGAACCCTGGGCAGAGAGGCAGGGGTGCCCTGGGAGGGGTCCAGGTCTCGTGGGACACTGTTTCTTGCCTTTCAGTTTGCATGACCAACTGCCCAACGCTCATTGTCATGGTGGGACTGCCTGCCAGGGGCAAGACCTACATCTCCAAGAAGCTGACTCGCTACCTGAACTGGATTGGCGTACCCACTCGGGGTGAGACTCAGCCTCGGCTTCCCAAGTGGAGCTTGGGGTCTCAGTGGGGGAGGAGTGAGAAGGCTGGGCTGCAGTGGAGCCAGAGGGGTGGGTCAAGGTCGGGTGTTGGGAAGGGATGCTGTTGTGTGACAGCTGAGCCTCTCCTTTCCCCCAGAGTTCAACGTGGGCCAGTATCGCCGGGACATGGTCAAGACCTACAAATCTTTTGAGTTTTTCCTTCCAGACAACGAAGAGGGCCTGAAAATCAGGAAGTGAGTGTGTGTCTATGGGTGTTTATGGAGAAGGCCCCGGAGCCCAGTTGCTGGTGATGACCAAGCTGTTCCCTGAGCCCGGGGCCTTGCCCTGCCCCGTGAGCTGGTTTCTTGGCATCTCAGGCTGTGGTGGGGGTGGGGATATGATGGGCTTGGGAACAGAGGGAAAGGATATGTGGCCACAGGGTGGCTTGCCCTGCCCTGCCTTGCTATCTCTGGGAGGGGAGCTAGGGCTTTGGGGAGGTGGTAGAGGCTTAGCCAGGGCAGGTCTGCATAGAGGCTATATTCACTTATCCCAGGCTGATCACGAGGGTGGGCTCTGGTAGGGAGGGGAGCTCAAAGTGAAGCAGAGATTCCAGTCTCATAGGTGGGGCAGAGTGGGACTGGCATCACTTCCTGCCACCTTCTTTTACAGATAGAAAGTTCAGACCCAGGACCTTTCCTCCCTAGCCCCAGGGTAAGCCCCTGCTGATCCAGGGAGGATGTTTGCTACATGTTCCTTGGCATGTGAGGGAGGCTTTCCCTTGTCTCTCAGTGTTGCTGGGTGACAGGATGGTGACAGGATGGAAAGTTGTGTATGACACCCACTCCCCTCCTCCATTCAGCCGGGAACTCAGGGCTTTCTGCAGGCTAACTGAGCACCAGCTGTGGTCTGAGTTGCTGTGCTGTGCCCTTCTCGGCAGGTGTCAGCTGAGGGGTCAGGAAGTGTCCTGCCCTTGCTCTGGGCTCAGCCACTGTGCGAGGGCTTTTAGCGGAGGCTGGCCTAGCTCTAGTGGGTCAATGGAACGCCAGGCCCGAAGCCACCGGCTGTTGCTGCGGTTTGCCTGCTCCTTCTCTGGCCACCAGGGGGCAGGAGTTCCCCATCATGAGGCTTGGCCAATCAGGTTCTCTACTCGGGTCAATGGAGCTGGGCCGCTGCTGCATCAAGAAGGGAAGGGGAGTCTGACACTCAGGCCTCTGGGGCCAAATTGGGAGCAAAACTCGAGGGTGGGCCCTCTGGTGATAATGACAAAAGGGAAGGGACTGATGCTTGAACCTATGGTGTGCTGGGTGTGTGATACCCATTGGCCGCCCCGCCCCTGCCGATTTTACAGATGAGGAAATTGAGGCTCAGGGGGTCTCATACAAGATACCAAGTAACTTCACAGAGCCCAGAATTAGGTCTAAGCCCCTGTTTCACTATAAACTGTCCTGTCCATCATTCCCAATTCACATTACCCAGTTTGTAGATCAAAGGTTGCATCAAGTGCAAATTCTATACTCATCTCAAGCTGTGGGCACTCATTAGTTGCTTTGATCTTCCCTACAGTGGGTTGTGGTGCCTCCCTCCCCCAGATGCTGAGACTGAGGTCAGAAGCAGTGGTATTGTCTGGGATCACTCAGGGTTTGATTTGAAGCCAGGCCTGTCTGATCCAGAGTGTTTGTGGGCAGAATAAGGAAGCTAGCACATTCCCAGAGCTTGTTGGGCATTCTGCTCAGACTGCCTATTGAAGGTAGGAATTGGGTTTAATTCTCATGGTGAAACCCGGACTCAGAAGTTAGGGAGTTAGTCCAAGATCACCCAGTGGGAACAGAGGACCTAGCAGTAGAAGCTGGGGGCAGGTTCACGTGTGCCGCTCTGTAGGCACAGCCTCTGGCTGTTTCTAGGAACTCTCCCTTGTGTTTCCAAAGCCTGGGTCTGGCCCCTGCACCAGGGCCCCATTTCCCATTAACCAGCCCCAGATGTCCCATGGATAATTGGCAAAATAGAAGGATCAGACTTTTTAAAAATGGGAAACCTAGGAAGAGAAGCCTACATTTCCCAGAGACACAGGTTTGTACACATTGTTGAGGTTCCTGGAACTACACAATGTGAAGGTCTGAACCTGACGCTGGGCACAGTGGAAGGTCTAGAAGAGGGCATGCATATCTATGTGTGTGTGTGCAGGTGCTCCCTCTTTATATACACGTCGGTATGTGCTTAAATACACACCAAGCGCACTCGTATACCTGCACAGAGTCACATACTGCAGGAGGGTGTGTGCACACACCTTATGTACAATGCATGTAGGTGTTCACACACGTGCATATCCTCTGTGTGCATGCTTGGACATATAAAAACCTATAATTGTGCACACTAGTGTGTGCACAGACCTACCCCATGTGCACATGAATATGTTTAATCATAACTATACCTTTTCTTTTTTTTCAACTCTACCTTTTCAGTCACATGGGCTTAGGGACACCAGGATGTTCTCTCTGACACCGACGTGTCCACCAGTTCAGTTCAATTCTGACCCTTTCTAAATGGCATTAGCATCAGTCAGTTCCCACAAGTTAAGGGCTCAGTCCCTCAAAATTGACCCCACTTCACACACCAGTAACAAGTCTCAGGGCCCAGCACCATCACACCCTACCAGCACCTCATCTTTTCAACCTGGAAGTGCTTTGACTCTCATCATTCATCTTCAGCACCCACCTCCTTTCCTGGAGGGTGGTGGTTAGGACTAAAGGTTCCTCATCACTTTCTGTGACCAGCCCAGTGCTGAGGCTGTCTAGGGGCCCCACCCTGAATCACTTCATTAGCATCAACTCAGGTGTGATTGGAAGAGGCTCCTTGTGAATGACAAAAATCACTTCTGTCACTTAGGGAATTCCAAGGGTTTTAGGAGCTCTGCCAAGAACCCTAGACAGAGACCAGATATATTTAATCATACTGCAGAGACCCCATCTGCGTGTGCACAACTGCACCCCTAGGGAATGCTCACAGCTGCTCACTAACGACTCACCTGTCACATACCCACCCACATGCACGTGTGTGCCCACCCACACTCATACCCACAGGGGCTCCCAGGCTGTTCCCCCCTGAATCTCCACCTGGACCCCTTGATGCCTCCTACTAGATGTAGCCTCAGCCAGAGGAGCCCCCAGAGATCATAGCCTGGACATGGGGCTCTGCATGTGGGTGGCCAGAAATGGCCCTAGCCATGCGACTGCAGAAATGTGTCTCAGAGGGCTTCAAGGAGCTCCGGTTCTTTATGTCTCAGCACAGAAAGAATTCTGTGATTCGTTAGAATAGGACACTTGTGAGGCTTGGTGGGCAGGTAGGCGGGAGGGTCTGCTCCCAGAATTTAGTGGGTGAAGGATACACGAGGACCCAGAAAGGTCAGAAGGCAGCATGAGAGCAGAGCTTCTTCCAATGAGCTGGACTCAGTTCTGCCCCCACTTTTCTCGTGATCCCAGCATTCTGGTCAGCCTCTGCGGCCACTCTTGGGCACACCGCACAGTCAGTGTATTGGTGCACTTGGGGTTTACATACAAAATTCCAAGACTGAACAAACAGGAGATCTAATTTTACTCTTACATCAAAAAACAAACAGGAGATCTAATTTTACTTACATCAAAAAAAAGTATAGGTAATAGTGTTTGGGAGGAAAAATTTTTCCTTCTTGCCTTCTAGGTTCTTTGGCTGGTCTAGTAGTTAAATCGACAATGACACGAATTAACAAGGCAGAAAAAAGTTTAATAGCACCTATGTCTCCTGCGTACATGGGAGAGGCCTAAGATACCTTAGTACCTTAATACACCTTAAATACCATCTTCAGCTAAAAAGAAGGTGCTGGGGGGTGAGGAGTCAGAGGACGTTATCAGGAAAGGCTCAGTGAATTAGGGTAAAGTTTTTATGCAGATTTGAATCTATGCCTTCAGGGAAGCCCTCACCTTAAAAACCTTCTTCGGCTAAAGAGAAGGGAAGACATTGAGGGTGAGGAGTCAGGGGAAGTTACCAGAACAGCTCACTGAACAAGGTTAAGGTTGTTACTCAGATTTAAATCTATGCCTTCAGGGAATTCCCTTGTGGTCCAGTGGTTAAGCTTCCGACCACAGGACCACTGTGGGACCCTTGTCGGGGCCAATTTGATCCCTGATCCATCAGGGAACTAAGATTCCACAAGCTACATGGAGCTGCCTAAATAAATCAATCAATGTATGCCTTTAGCATTGATAAAGAGTTTCCAGAGAGATAAGGTCATCTCCTTCCTCCTGGTTCAGCAAGGGAGACTCCCTTACAAATGGAGGTTTCCTTTATATTTGTAAATGTCTCTTAAAAAAGGGATCTTCCTGACCCGGGGATTGAGCCCACGTCACCTGCATTTTAGGCAGATTCTTTATCATCTGAGCCGCTATGGAAGCCCTAAAAAGAAAAAGAAAAAAAAAGGGGGGGGGGGGGGGGTAAGCTGTTCTTTTTAACTTTTTATTTTGTATTGGGATATAGACAATTAACATACAATGTTGTGATAGTTTCAGGTGAACACCAAAGGGACTCAGCCATACATATACATGTAAAAAAGGATAACTGACTCATGTTTTCTGAGCTTCTACTGCGTCTGCAGTTCCTTAAAAATAATCAGCCTGAAATAATCCTTCTGCCAAAGAGATTTATTTTGGGGCGGCACATTCTGCTCCACTGCATAGATAAAAGGTCAAAGTGATTTATCTATCTTTGGACCTTGTAGGAGAAATGGATAACGTTAGAAAGATCCTTATATGTGGCAATCCACTTTGGAGCAATGAACAAAACGGCTGAGGTGTTCTGAGGACAGAGAGTGTAGTCAGTGGTCAGTCGTGGTGAGGGTTTTGCCTTTCAGAGCATCTGTGGGCATGGGTCCAAGAGGCAGAGACACAGCACCCTCCTCCAGAAGGGGTCATTTGGGGAGTTCTCGGTCCACTGAAGGAAATGTACAACTTAAAATTTGAGAGTTGTGTTTTATTCGGTGAGCAACACTGAGGACTTGGGAATTCCCTGGCAGTCCAGTGGTTAGGACCCTGCACTCTCACTGCTGGAGGGCCCAGGTTCAGTCTCTGGTCGGGGAAGTAAATCTCACAGGCTGCACAGCATAGCCAAACAAACTGAGGACTTAAGCCCTGAAGACAGCCTCTCAGATAGTTCTGAGGGACTGCTCCCAGAAGTAAGGAAGGTTCCAGGACATATAGGAGTTTTGGGGACAAAAACCAGGTAGGCTGCAACATCAAAAGAGTCTGTTAATGAAAGAACACAGACATCTCAAGTTAAGGAACCTAGAGCTTTTGTTTGAATGGAAAGAGGCAAGAGCCTGGGCTCATTGAAGTCATCCTTCTGATATGCATTTCAGCTATCTGTGGCCAGTTTCCTGTTTTCCTTTCTTGAGTCCCCCTCAAGGTATACATTTGGGGGCTGCTACGACAGCTGAGCCTTGATGCCTGCAACATCCTTTGTTTGGTGATAAGGCAGGTGGCCTCCTTGGTCCACATTTCCCTTCTAGGAAAGAAAATTGAACCTGAAGCTTAATCCTGCCTTTTAAGCTAGAGGCCAGCAATATTGTCTCTGTTCTCCCACTGCTAGCTTCCTTGCCCAACACACACACAAGGAAGTATCTGGTTTTCAAAGTGCTTTGTTGATAATCAAGGGAAATGTAAGACACTTAGAAGTTCTGAAGTTGGCAAAATGGCAGCCCGAATTTGTATCTGATGAGATGAAAGAAGAAAGTAGAGAAACGTGATATCTCAAAAAGTGTTCCTGGACTTCCCTGGTGGCCCAGTGGTTAAGACTCTACCTTCCAATGCAGGGGACCCAGGTTTGATCCCTGGTCTGAGAAGATTCCACATGCCATGGAGAAATTAAGCTGGTGTACCACAACTATTTAGCCTGTGCTCCGCAACAAGAGAGAAGCCTTTGATCACCACAACTAGAGAAAAGCCTGAGCTGTAACACAGGCCCAGCACAGCCAAAAATAAATAAATATGTATATTTTAAAAAGTATTCCTGATGGCCAGGAGCGCATAGCCTTCTACCTACAGGAGCAGGGTTACCAAATACTGGCAATCTTCCCAAGGAAAGAGAAGTCTTGAGAGAAGGGGCCCCAGGGGCTGCCCCCTCTCCTGGTCGGCACAGCATATTTCCCTGGCCTACTGCCCCGCAGCAGCCAGTCAGGTTCTCGGCTGACCTCTGTGTTCTTTTCTGAAGGCAGTGTGCGCTGACAGCCCTCCGAGACGTTCGGCGGTTCCTTAGTGAGGAGGGGGGACATGTGGCGGTGAGTATGACACGCTGGCAGCATCTGGGAGTGACACCTACTTCTACCCCCTTACTTACCAGGCGTCTGGAGGGGAAGGTAGGGGACGTGCAGCCCTAGACACTCCTGGGTGCCAGCCGCCGGGAGGAAGCCTGCAGCTGCTTTGCAGTAGGAAGCCAGAGGCTAGGCGGGGCAAGAATTTCCCTCTGGGCTTGTGGTTGTGTTTGACCGAGCAGGACTTCCCTCTGAATACTCACATGGTTGGCTGCTCCACAAGTTAGGCGTGTCATGTTACTTGAGTCTTTAGCAAATGTGATTTCTCCCAATGTGGAGAGCATCCTGCCCAGCCTTGGGTGACCATTCCGAAATCAGCTAAATGCTGGGTAAGGGAATTCCATCTATGTGTTGACCCTTCCCGTGAGATGCACAAAGCTGAGCAAGGGTGTCTTCAGAAAAGGGCCCTACCCCAACCCTCTGCTGTGAAACATCGTGGCCATTTTTCCTTCCTTCTTCCTCTTGAATTTTCCTTCCTTCCTCCTCTTGAAGGCATGCAGCCTGGAGCTCTGTCCCCAGCTCCATCTAGATCAGCTGCCCCCTAGGTCTGTGGCACAGCCGTCACCCTGGGAATTTCCTTCTCTTCCCTCCTGAGTTGAATCCCTGGCCCTTAAACTCCATGTCTTCCTTTTACTTGATTTACTGACTTGTTTTGTTGGAGCGCAAACAAGTAGCTTTCTCAGAAAGGTATTTGGGAAGTAAATTTTGTGAGACCTTGCATGTCCAGAAATATATATATATATATTTTAATCCTCGCTTTGCTGGGTGGGTATAGAATTCTAGGTGGAAAGAACATTTCCTTTAAAAATTTCATGACATTGCTCCATTGTTTTATGGCTGTGGGAAAGTCTGTTGTCATTCTGATTTGTTGGTCCTCCTTAAAAGTTGTATTTCCTAGGGAATTCTCTGGCGATCCAGTGGTTAAGACTCTTCACTCTCTGGCTAAGACTCTGGTTTGATCCATGGTCGGGGAACTAAGATCCCACAAACTGTGCAGTGCAGCCAAAAAAAAGTTAAGATTAAAAAAAAAATAGATTTTATCTCCTAGAGGAGCTGGGGGCTTCTCAGGCCTTTTCTCTGGAGAAGCTTTTAGGGTCTTCAAAGTGATGTGCCTTACAGTGGCCTTCTCCACCATCCTGGGTCCTTGGGCTGCGGGACTTTGATCAGGAAACCCTTCTCCAGCAGGTCAGAGAAATTGTCATATATGTTACTTTGTTAAACCACCCCCACCACTGTCTCACCATCAAGTCCTCACTCCTCTCCCACTTTCTGAGATGCTGTTTCTGAACTCCTGGTGGCTGTATGTTAGACCTAATCCCTAACTTTGTCTTTTTCCCCTCTTACTTTCCCTTTGTCTCTTTTGGTTCCACTTTCAGGGAGACTTCCTTAACATTATCTGAGAAGTGTTTGGCTGAAGTTTTATACTTTTATGGTACAATTTCCAAATTTAAAATGTCTTATTTTCTGAGTGTTTCAATTTTTTCAAACCCTGTTCTTGTTTTGTGCTTACTATATGGCATTTCGCGTCTCTTTAGACAATAATTGTAAGTTTTTGACATTTCCTTCTGTGCTATGCCCTGTCATCATTTCTTAAAGTTCCTTTTATCGTGTTTGATTTAGTCTTCTTCTTTTTTTTTTTTTGCCTGGACCATACAGCTTATGGGGTCTTAGTTCCCTGACCAGGGATTGAATTTGTGCCCCCTTCAGTGGAAGCATGGAGTCCTAATCAGTAGACCACCAGGGAATTCCCAGGTCTTCATTTTCCATGTTGGAGGTTTTGCTGTTTCAGTGACCCTGGTCTAATGATGTATCCCTTTGTAAAAAGCGGTGCTCCAAACTCCGCTTGAGTGGGCTGCACCTGAGGATGCTGGGCAGGCACCAGGCAGTTCACAACCTGTCTGGAGGAGGCAGGGAGGGGTCCTGGGGCTCCACTTGCACTCCCAGTGGGGCCGGTCCTCCCCTTTCCAGTCCTCCCCTTTCCTCTACACCCTTGCCCCTTTTTGCCGAGATGCCTGTGCCCAGTTCCTGACTCTCCCAGGTCTGCAAAACGGCTGTGCTCTGGTTGGCCATGGCTTGTGTTTGCTTTTCTCTGAGCCACTCACCAAGTGTCTGTCATAAAGAAAAAAACTACGGTGACATCGCCCATCTCCTGTCCTGTTCCCATCTTACTGGGGTCTCAGGACGGAATGGAAATAAATGTGGGTTTAGTTCTCCAGGTTTAGCTAATTTCACTGGAAGTCTTGTTGGTCAGACATGAGCAGAGTGCCCGCTGTCCTGCTGTGAGCATGGGTACCCGCTCCTTCTAGCTTCCTTGGGGCGCTTGCCAAGGAACTGGAGGGCCAGCCCAGCCCTTGCAGGTCTGAAGGATTCTGGCCAGGCGGGTGGCCAGGCATCGGCTGGTCTCAGAAACCCAGCCCCTGTGCTCCAGCTCTTGGCCTCCCACCTTTTCCAGGGCCAGAGGCTGAGTTAACCCCAATTTGATCCTAGGTTTTTGATGCAACAAATACCACCCGGGAACGGAGAGCCACCATCTTTAACTTTGGGGAACAGAACGGCTACAAGGTGAGGCCCCCTGGCTTACCTCCTCGGTTGGGCTGTGGCACCTTCAGGCCCCCTGGGGCCCCTTTGTTGGCCTCCTGCTGTGTGCGGGCAGGTGGGCTCCTGAGTGGATTTGCGATAATGCTTTTCTCTCCACCTGGAGGTTTCTTTCTGGGGAAGTGGGGTTCCTGGTGGGAGAGTCCTGAATGGGGAGGCACCTGCTGGGGTTCCGTGCCCCTTGTCCAGGCCCTCTCCCCAGAAGGAGGGCCTCAGGGCCCTGGTTGCTGATCAGTAGGGCCCTCAGTGGGTAGGGAGCTCCCGGGAGCCAGGCACAGGGCCCTAAATGCGTCTCTGGTTCCTCCCCTCCTGCCTGCCATGGTCTTTGCTGCAGACCTTTTTTGTCGAGTCCATCTGTGTGGATCCTGAGGTCATAGCTGCCAACATTGTGGTGAGTGGTGTGGTACGTCTGACCTTGTGGGGGACAGGAATACACCCGAGACGGCCTGTGACAGTGAGGTCTCTCTGTAGGTTGGGCTGTGGCCTGGGCCAGCCTTAGCTTGCTTGGTGGGGGGTGGGGAGGCAGTAGATCTCTGGGCTGGATGGTCCTGGATCCCCAGGTACCACTCGTCTGGAGGGCTGTGCATTCCTTCTTCTTCCCTTCTCTTCCCCTCCCTCCTTCCCCTTCCTCCTCCCCTGGATGGTAGGAGACAGCTTCAGCCCTTAGAGGGAGGGGCAGGGTGGGGAGGGGGTGTTAGTATTTTGAAGGGTAAAGAGATTTGACCCCTCACCCATATTCCTTTTTTATCCGAGAAATGAACATCAGTGTCTGGGGAGATAGTTCAGGTGGGGAGGGGCTTCAGGGCCCCTTATCCCTCTGGCCTCACCTCCCCCAGTACCACAAAAATGAGGGACTGTGATCTCAGGATGCCCAGTAATACTCTCTTAGCACTGGTGTGGGAGCTTGGACCAGGGAGCCGCTGGCCTCTTCCTAATGGGACCAGCCAGCCCCCTGGGACTGGCCTCCAGCCTCCTCCCCTAGCCCCCTGCCCAGCGTTGTCCTCGGTCTCCCCCCTGCCTGGCCTCTGGAGCTGATGTGTCCTTGCTCTGTGCCTGGCTCTGGAAGCAAGTGAAACTGGGCAGCCCTGACTATATCAACCGCGATAGTGACGAGGCCACAGAGGACTTCATGAGGCGCATTGAGTGCTATGAGAATTCATATGAGACGCTGGATGAGGACCTGGACAGGTGAGCCGGGGCAGCACCGTGTCTTCGGCTGTGGTGGGGGTGGGTTTGGACCGCTGGGCTGCCTCCCATGGCTCCCCAAGGTGGTGGCTAAGGGCCCACCCCAGCAGGCAGAGATGCTCTTCCCTTTTGTGTTTCTTTCCTCGGGGTGGAGGTCATGGCCCAGAGGTGACTCATAGAACTGCAGTTGGTTTATCTGGAGCTCTGAAAGTCAGAATTTTCTACTATACCATCATAAAATCAAGCCTATTTTCTGTACAGAGGGTCTTCCCATGAGCCATTTGCAAACAGTACATGCTCTTCTTTCCGTGGGTGGTCTGTGTTTTGAGAAGGGGGACGGGGTGCCCAGATCGTACCCATGAAGAGCTGACAGTGGCCAATGCTTCATAGGAGTGAGTTCTGAGTAGGGATAGCAGCCAGCCATTGGCAGGCTCAGATGGTAGATATTTTAGGCTTTGGGGGCATACAGTCTCTTAACTCTTAACTAGCCATCTAGTACTAAAGGAACATATTAAGAAATGGACATGACTGTGTCCCAATAAAACTTTATTTGCAAAACTAGGCTGAGTTTGACTAACTGGCCATAGTTTGGCAACAACTCCTTATAGCAGAAGTGGGGGGGAGGGTGTTGAAGTGAATAACACTTAAGTAATTAACACCTAAGTAATTAAGTTAATAACTGAATAAAGTATTACACAGTCCTTGTAAGTCATGCCAAAGAGACATGGAAAAGTGTATGTTATGTTGTTGTTGTTCAGTCGCTAAGCCCTTTCTGACTCTTTGCCACCCCATGGACTGCAGCACACCAGGCTTCCCTGTCCTTCACTATCTCCCAGAGTTTGCTCAAGTTCATGTCCACTGAGTCACTGATGCCATCCAACCATCTCATCCTCTGTCACTCCTCCTTTTGCCACACATTATGTAGCATTAAGTCAAAAGGCTGGGATATGAACTTGTATTTGGGTCACTGTGGTTATGTATGAATCTTTAATTACACACCAAGGAAGTCAAGTGACTGTTGGAGAGAGGGTATCTGTGGTGTTTGCGGGACAGTCCCTGGCCTGGCTTTTGGCGCGGCTGGCATTGTTTCAGTGCTGTGCCCCGCCTCTGTGGTTCTGCTGGTCTCCCCAGCACAGCGTTGTTCCTCGTGGCCCTGCTCTCCACGCTGCAGGGCTGCGCTGGTCCAAAGCAGGGAATGTGGTGGAGCTGGGCTTACCAGCTGCTGCCTTTAGTACCATCCACCTGTGCTGCTTGTCTTGTCTACCTGCTGCCTGGCATGGGATGGCATGGGCGCTGGGCACACACAGATGACCTGGGCTGGATTCTAGGGGGAGGGTTCACTGGGGGAAGGAAAGGCCAGGCCAGGCCCATGGATGGCTGACCAGGAAGACTGGAGGGGAAGTGTGTTTGCCAGCTACTGCCATCAGGTCAATCATGGAAAAAACTGTCTCCTGTTCACCCTGCAGACAGTGCGTTGAGAGCTCAGAGGTAGGCAAGAGGGGCCCCGGGGACGTAGAGCAGTGATGAAAGTCCAGATGTGGTAGGATCGACCCCTCTCTCTGGCTGTCACCTCTTGGGAGCATGCTGAGCGTGGGGCACCTCTCACCGGCTTTGTCTGTATGTCACACGTGTCATGTTGCTCCCACCTGTCGCTCGCACACCAGCTGACGGTCCGACGTGTTGTGGTCTCAAGCCTGGCGGGGTCAGAGAGGAAGGGCTCTGGAGCGGGCAGAGCGGACCCTGGAGGACCCGGGTCTCACTCGCCTCTCCCTGCCTTCTCTGGAAAGGGATCTATCCTACATTAAGATCATGGACGTGGGGCAGAGCTACGTCGTGAACCGCGTGGCTGACCACATCCAGAGCCGCATCGTGTATTACCTCATGAACATCCACGTGACCCCCCGCTCTATCTACCTCTGTCGGCATGGGGAGAGCGAGCTCAACCTCAAGGGCCGGATCGGCGGGGACCCAGGGCTGTCCCCCCGGGGCAGGGAGGTCAGTGTACATGCTTGTGTGTGTGTGTGTGTGTGTGTGTGTGCGTGCACGCATGCTCGTGTGCATGTGCACATGTTGGTGAGGGACTCCAGCTAATGCGCAATCCAGTCTGGAATGTTCCTATTACATAGTGAAGGTCACCAGGCAGATGCCCAGATCTCTGGCTTCCATAATAGCTGTCGCCAGCTGAGCGCCTGTCCCTGGAGTGGGACACTGTGGGAGTGAGCTGAGTGCCCGCAGTGTAGGTGATCCTCTGCCACAGTCCAGGGAAGAAATCGAAGCCTTGCTGGGAAGATGCTCCGGCCTAGGCACGTGGTTGGGGTTGGGGGGCAGCACTGGCGGGATGAGCCGCAGCTGGAACTACATTCAGGGTCTGGGAAGAATGCACAGAGACAGCACTTAAGGGAGTGGGTGTCATCGAGAATTAATTCGTGGTTTTCGTGGGGTTTTTTTTTTTTTTGCCACACCAGTTTTCTCTGAGGCTGGGCCCCGTGGACTCTTTGCGGGCAGCCCAGGACCGGTCCATCTGAATTTGCTTCTGCTATGTTTCAGTTTGCCAAGAGTCTGGCCCAGTTCATCAGGGATCAGAACATCAAGGACCTAAAGGTCTGGACAAGCCAGATGAAGAGGACAATCCAGACGGCCGAGGCCCTGGGTGTGCCCTACGAGCAGTGGAAAGTTCTCAACGAGATTGATGCGGTAACTGATGTCTCTTCCCTCCCCCGCCCAGGTCTGGGCACAGCTGTGCTCACCCCGGGTGACGATGTTGAGGGTCAGAATGACGGTGTTGAGGGTCAGAAAGAATTTTTTGTTTAACATGTCATCATTGATTATGGTTTTGATTCATCCCTCCCTCCCTCCTTCCCTTCTTTTCCATGTAACTATCTAGACATACATGGTGAAGATATGATGTATGCATATGTTGTGAAATAACTGTCACAGTAAGTTCAGTTAACATCCATCACCACATAGTTACAGACTTTCTTTCTCTGGTGATGAGAGCTTTCAAGACATACTCTCTTAGCAGTTTTCAAATATATGGTACATATTGTTAACTATAGTCACCAAGCTGTACATTACATTCCCAGGACTTATTTATCTTATAACTGGAAGTTTACACCTTCACCCACTTCGCCTTATCAGCTGGCTTCTCATCCCTTTAACTTCACTTTCAAATCAACAAAACCTCTAAGGGAAAAATGATGCCATATATCGGGTTCATCTTTTCGGATTTCCCTTCACTTCAGGATTTTGGCCCCTTAGGTCTTTTTTTAGATAAGTGATTTTCTTTCCTTTTTTTTTTAAAAAAAGATATTTCCTTTTTTCTTTGATTTTGTATTTTTGTCTGCACTGGGTCTTCGTTGGGCTTGTGGGTGTTCTCTGTTTGCGGAGAGTGGGGGCTCTTCCCCAGCTGTAGGGCTCAGGCTCCTCATTGCAGCTGCTTGTCTTCTCGATGATCATGGGCTCCAGGGCGCTCAGGCTTCAGTAGTTGTGGCACGTGGGCTCAATAGCTGTGGCTCACAGGCTTAGTTGCTCTGGAGCATGTGGGATCTTTCCGGAACCAGGGATCTAGCTGGTGTCCCCCTGCATTGCACGGTGGATTCTCAACCACTGGACCACCAGGGAAGTCCCTCTCAGGTCTTCTTTGCCTCAAGGCTCTGTGATGATATCAAACAGATGTATCTATTTGTTTCTGTTTGGCTTTTCCAGTAGTTCTCAGGGGGAAGGTTAGTCTAAAACAAGCTAGTCTACCATTGCCTGATGTGGAAGTCTCTAAGATCAAATTTGAATCTTACAGAGATCACCCCACATGATAGAATTGTTTTGTTGGGATGAGGTGGGAGGAAAAGCTGGAGGAGGGAGACTAGTTAGAGGTGCTTGATGTGTCCTAATTAGGTGATGAATCTGGAATTTGGGTGGTGGCAGTGAAAGAGGAAGAGAGGACTGGGGAGTGTTGTTGTTCATTTATTTATCACATATTTATGTGAGCCTGTGCTATGCTAGGGTTTTCCAGGTGGCGCTAGTGGTAAAGAACCTGCCTGCCAATGCAGGAGAAATAAGAGGCGCAAGTTCAATCCTTGAGTCGGGAAGATATCCTGGAGGAGGGCATGGCAATCCACTCCAGTATTCTTTCCTGGAGAATCCTGTAGACAGAGGAGCCTGGCGGGCTACAGTCCATGGTGTTGCAAAGAGTTAGACATGACTGAAGCGACTTAGCACACACACATACCCTATGCTAGGAACTGGGCCAGATGCCGGGGACCTAGATATGGGTGAAGAGATGGAGGCTGATGATGCCCCACAAGGGATGTAAAAAGGAAAAACGCATCCAGGATGGCTCCAGATTTCCAGCCACTGGGAAGGGTTCTAGGGCAGGGAAGGTGAGCTCACCTGAAGGCACAAACCATGTCTACTTTATTCACCACTTCGTAGGGGCCTCGGTAAATAGAGGAAGATGTGGAAGATGTTATGTTCTTGGGAGATGTTCCATGGCAGATACCCAGAAGGCAATCTGATCTCCAAGGAGAGGTGGGGCTTGGGTTTATCCACCACAGACATGGTGCTTGAGACTGTGGAATGGATCAGGTGGCTGAGGGAAGTGAAGTGGGACCCAGGACAGAGCCCAAGGGAGCCTTGGTGTGTAAGGGGCTGTGGAGGAAGCTATGAATAGGTGTCTGATGAGGTGGAAGGCAAACCAGGCTGATGAGGGTCATGGGACTCAAGGCAGAGAGGAGGAGGCCATGGTCAGTGGGGTGAGATGCCATAGGAAAGGGCAATGAGGCAAATCTCCAAGCTGACCGTTGGGATGTTGTAACAAGACCACTGGGACTCTTGGCATGAGCCTCGTGGGCTGTTGCCCAATGGGACAAGATGGGGAAATGAGTGGGAGGCAAGAGGCTGAGTCAAGGGACACTTGGCCGTGTGTAAGCTGATGGTGAGAGGCTGGTAGAAAAGGAGGGAATGAGGACAGGAGACCCTGAGAGATGGCAGTGAGAGAGTCCATGCCTATGCAGTTGATAAGAAGTCCGGGGTCCCCGAGGAGAGAGGGGTCTGGGGTTCTCAAGGAGGAGGAAAGGACAGACTTTTTTTTTCTCTACATTCCTTAGTCTTAGTCACATAAAACTTTTTTTTTCTTCCTTTAAGCCGGAAACTGATGATTATACAACTCAGTTTAAACTCTTTACTAGGGATTATATGACAACAATGTATCCTGTTTGAGGACAGTTTCTCCTTCCTGAAAACCTTCTGACTAATCCTGATATTTTCAAATATATATTATGGGAGTGGGTCTGGTAGGATCTTTCTATTGTTGAATCCTAATCCTTATCCTAAAATGTAAACTGTGGGAGTGGGTCTGGTAAAATTTTTTAACCTTGAGACATTCTTTTGCTTTACTGTAATAACTAATTTAAAAAGTATATAACTCCCTTGCTAACACTAGCGAGGGGGCATTCTCCATCCCCCTTCTGATGTCCAAGTCAGAAGCTTTCTCAGTCCCTTTTCTTACTTTAGTAAAAGTCTGCTACACAAAAGCTTTTGAAGGATCAAGCTTGGTGCCTGGTCCCGAAGCTAAATCTTCAGAGATCACGAATCCAGCATCGTTCACCGTAAGCTATCAGCAGAGGCCCAGTTTCTAGGATATCAGGAAGGGAGAGGGGTGCAGGTGGTCAGAGTCCTGTCTCAGAACCTCATGGAGGTTTCACTCAGGAGTGAAAGGAAGGAGAAGTTTCCCGGGGGAGTTAGCCAAGGCGGCCAGGTGGCTGGTCTGGAGAGTTTCTTTGGTGCTGTTGTCTGTGTCCCGGAGGTGGTCCTCCAGCCCCCAGCAGGTGGATGCAGTTGTGGAAAAGGCAGAACGTTCATTCAGCATGCGAGCTTGTTCCATTGTGTCCTCGTGGCTGAGATGGAAGCACGTGGGACAGAGAAGGTGAGGAGTAGGGAGGAAGGTGATGAAGCCACATGCCATGGAACCCGTCCCTGCTGGGAAAGATGGGGGATGGGAATGGGGGCATCCATGGCATTGTGAGACGGGAGAGGCCATAGGCCCAGCATTCCTATGGGGTGCCGGGCCAGGGCGGCTGACGCTGGGCTGTTAACAAGGACAGCTCCCAGAATTCCATGGTGGTTCAGTGCATACGACTGCCAACTTTCACTGCAAGGGGACATGGGTTCAGTCCCTGGTGAGGGAACTAAGATCCTGCAAGCTGCACAGCATGGTCAAAAAAAAAATGTAGAAGCCAGTCACTGATTCTGCCCATACTCTACTCCAGGGAAGGGGATTAAATAAGAGCTTGACTCACTGGGAGTCATTTTAGGGTGTGTCGTGTCCCCACCACCTCGTATCTACCATCAAGTTTTAGGGTACAGGCAGGCCTTGTTATATTGTACTTTGCTTTATTGCACTTTGCAGATACTGTGTTTTTTACAAGTTGAAGGTTGATGGCAACCCTTTATCCATCAAGTCTATTGGCTCCATTTTTCCAAAAGCATTTGTTCACTTTGTGTCTCTGGGTCACATTTGGGTAATTCTTGCAGTATTTCAAGCTCTTCATTATTATATTTGTTATGGTGATCTGTGACCAGTGATCTCTGATGTTAGTACTATGACTTCTGAAGTCTTGGATGATGCTTAGCATTTTTTTTTAGAGATAATTTAATTTTTAGTTAAGGTATGTACATTGTTTAAAACAGAATGCTATTGCACACTTAACAGTGTATAGTGTAAATGTAATTTTTATATACATTGGGAAACCAAAAAATTCTTGTGACTCACTTTGTTGCAGTGATCTGGAACCACACCCATAGTATTTCCAAGGTATACCTGTAGTAGCTATTTTATCACTTCCTATTTATCTTTCCATCCCTGAGTCATCTGGACAGTTTATTTTATTCAAACTTTATTTCTTCATCAGAGTAAGTTATATATTAGAACCTAATGGTAGAGTCATCTCAGTGTCAGGTGTTATTACCTCTGTTTCCATCCTTTGATATTGCACAGTTTTTATTCTTAATTAGGTGTGTCAGAGATTAGTCACTTATTGAAATTTTTATTTCCAAAGAACCAGATCTCAGATTGTATCAGTTCTATCCTTTTTCTATTTTTTAGTTCATTTATATCTTGCTTTTATGTTATTTTCCTTTACTTACTTTCCTTCAAGTAAGTTTTAAAGTTTATTGACTGAGGCGTTTATGGTCATTCTTTCTTCTCCAATGATGAAAGCATTTAAAGTGATTTTTTGGTTATTTATTTATTGGGCCATGCCACGTGGCTTGCAGGATGTTAGTTCTCTGACCAGGGGGTTTGAACCCGGCCCTGTGCAGTGAAAGTGTGAGGTCCTCACTAGTGGGCCACTTAGGAATTGCCATGGTTGACTTTACTATGTTGCAATCCAAGGAGGTGACCTGTAATTCAACCTTCAGGAATTTTTAGAGGCTTTCTTTGTTGCCTAGAATATGGTAAATTTTTATAAACATCTCATTTGAAAGGAAGGTCTGTTGCCTGTTAGTTGGATATAGTATCCATTAAATGTCCATTATCCAATTATATGGAAGAATAACAGGGTGTGTGTGTGTGTGTGTGTGTGTGTGTGTGTGTGTGAAAGAGAGATAATGAAACTTTCTAACTTTTAGCGTCTTAAATTGAAGTATTCCAGAAGAAATGAAATTATGTCTGGCATTTTCTTGAAAGTAATTTCTTTCAA